AGGAGAGCTTAGGGGCAGTGCCCTGTCATTGTCCCTGCCCCTGAGTCCCCTTAGGCCTGTGGACCAGGTGAAGGGAAAGGGGCTGTAGGAATGTCCTGGTCACCACGGCCAGAGCTGTCCCTGCTGGAAATTGTTCAGGATTAATGAGAAGCGGGCCTGCGGGTGGAGTGGCTGTGGAGTTGGACGGCCTTAATCAGAGCCTTCGGGAAGGGCAGGCGAAGCAGGTCTCCTGGGAACTTTTGTTCCGTCTTAACAAAGGGAGGTGCATGTGCAGACCTGTCTGAGGCCTCCGTGCAGCACCACCGATGGGGCAGCATAAAGGAAGGTGGGAGGTCTGCTGAGTCCTGGCCGGAGCCCGTTGCTTCGTGGGCTGCCTCCTGTGACCCGGTGGTGGTGACTTCTCCAGTCTGTTCTCCATTTGTCCCTTTGCACCTTTCACTTTCCGCTTTGCAAAATGAATGCATGGTGAGGTCAGGGGTTGCAAACTCGGGTGCCCGGGGCCTGGCGGGGAACATGGACAGAGGAGGGAGGACTGTGGGTGGGGAAGAGGAGGCTCTGTGCCACTGAGCAGGGTGACGGACACCTGAGCAGGGGGGACGGACACAGCTCCGGTTGAATGTTGCCCCGCAGGAAGGCGAGCTCAGTTTGGACAAATACTGTGATTTTTCAAGATAAATAAGCCAGAATCTAGGATTTGTTTTTTAGATGAAAGCAGTTCAGTGCTTACAGACTTACTGTATACAATGGCAACAAAGTTATTTTTTTTTAAATAGCTTGCAGGCCAAACAGAAGTTATGTTGGTCACCTGCCACCTCTGGTTTAGATAAAAATAACAGCAGGCTCAAATGTTTTTTATTGTGGTATTTAGCGTGTTTTTTGCTAATTTCTCAGGGCCATGTGTGGTATAGGAAGCAGACTTTTAGTATATGTAGCCCTATTGGTTTTTTAGATAAAGACAAAGACACAATTTGGTACGTCCTTTTTATAAAAAGTTATATTGTTTAGCATTATTCACGATAGCAGAAAGGTGGAAATAGCCCAAACACCCACCAGTAATGAATGAGTCAATAAAATGTGGTACACGTACCATGCAGTGTTGTTCAGCCTTAAAAAGGGATGAGATTCTGACACTTCGAGGCACCATGAGGACACTGTGCTAAGTGCAATAAGCCTGTCACCAAAAGGCAACCACGTATGACTCCAGTTCTGGGAGGCGCTAGAGCAGCCAGACTTCCGGAAACGGAGTAGAATGGGTGTTTCCAGGCTCGGGCGTGAGAACGGGGAGGTTTAATGGGGGCAGAGTTTCAGGTTTACAAGATGAGAAGTCTGCACAGCAGTGTGGGCCTACCTAACTCTACTGAACTGTGCTCGGAAAAGGGGTTAAGGTGGTAAGTTTTGTGTTATGTTAAAGTTATATTGCTATATTGTTTAATAATAATGACACATGGGTGAACAGAACTTCATGAAGGAACGAACACCAGGGAGAGTAATGCGTGGTTAGCATAAAAGAATTTGACCATTTAAAGCAACGATGGGTTTTAAAACTTACGTGGAAATAAAATATATGACGATGCACAAAAAGTGAGGTAGGCCAATGGAATTTAAAAATTCTGTATTTCTTCCATTCTTAGGAGGTATTAAAAGTGCTAATTTAAGGTAAACTATCATAAATTTAGGATGTATATTGTAATCACTGAAAGGATCATGTAAGAAATTATAAACAAAAAGCAAATAGAGAGGAACAAGGAAATAATATGATTCCACTTATATGAAGTTCAAAACTAGAATTCTGACCGAGGTCAGAGTGTGGGTGCGTTGGGGAAAGGGGGTGGGTGTTGAGTGGGTGGGGCACAGGCAGAGCAGCTGGGGTGCGGGAGCATGCCTGTACTCAGTGTGGGTGTAGTCACACGGGTGTTTACAGGGGTAAACATTAATTGGCCTATTCCCTTAAGACTTGTACATTTTACTCTATGTAAGCTTTACCTCAGTAAGTCAGAAATCAGTAACAATTCTTAAAAATTTTGAAACTAATAGCTTAAGACAAGATTCAGCAAATTATGGCCCACAGGCCAAATGCAGCCCTCTGCGTGTTTTTTAATGACTCACAGTCTGAGAAGTGTTTGCCGTTTTTAAGTGGCTGGGAGAAAATCTAAAAGGGAATGATATTTCATTCCATGCAAATTATATGTAATTCACATTTATGTCTGTCAGTAAGGTTTTGTTGGAACAAAAGAATTCATGGTTTACAATGTAATTTATTTGTTTCTCAGCTAATACCACTCGAATATTCCAAGGGACCAGAATTGTGAAAACAGGAGTGGTAAGTAGGGAATGTTTTCTAAGTAGTTAATGAATTGTGAAAACAGGAGTGGTAAGTAGGGAATGTTTTGTAAGTAGGTGTTTTGTCCTGGTTGTTAATTTGCATGCAGTTGAAACTGTCACCACGAGGTGGCAGTATGATGTTGTGAAACTGCTTCATGGGGAAAAGTGAAGATACAGAAAAATTTACATTATTCACTGTTTATAATTCAATCCATTAGGAAAACAAGCTGTGCAGCAGAGTTAAAGCAGTAGTGTTATACAATATAATTTTTGTCTAGGTGAAAAGTTCTCTGGTTTTTAATTCTTTATTATCTGTAGGGTCATAGGATGTAGGATTGCACAGGTCAGCCAGCTCCAAGCCCTTGGTTGGACACACGCTGAAATTCCCAGAGGTTGTCATTTGCCCAAAGCCATGTGGATTTTCAAATTTCCGTAGCCTCAATCAATATCTAAGTTTTCCCATTTCTAGTGCAACTAATAATCATAACAGTGATCACATGGTTGATGATAACAATAGCCTAACACTTACTCAGCATTTCCTGGGTTTCAGGCACAGGTTATTTTATTATTTTACTTACTCCTCACAGCCTCCCACAAGATTGGTGTTACCTTTATTCCCCTTTTATGGTTCAGGACACCGAGGCTCCGTGGGTTGTGGTGATGTGCCCAGCATCACCCGGAGAGCGCGAGTGGTCTTCGCTCAGCCGGGGCTGCCTGACTTCATTGATTGAGTGCCCCCTTGTGTGTGGCATCGGGCATTTCATTAACCAACTTAAGAACGCTACATTTGCTAACTTGATCCTCTTGGAACTACAGAGTTTTCTAATTAAAACCTCTCGATAAAACGATAAAATCTAAGGTGCCCTGGCATATTGTTTTGAATGGATTTCTGGCTGTCAGAACCAACATTAAGCTCAGACCTCGGCGGCCCTGGCTGTTTCCCCAGCTCCCGCCCTCAGTGCAGTCCCACCCTTAGTGCAGCCCCGTCTTTCAGCACCAGGTTAGCTTGGTGGGGAGAGTGAGCTGCGGTTTGGACACAAGCTGCCCTTGACATCTCTGTGCCTCAGTTTCCTCCTCTGTAAAATGGGTGATGACCATCCCGGATGGTGTGGGAAGCCCTAGCACGTTGCTGGCAGCTGTTAAGTGGAGCAGTGATCGCTGTCATGTCCGTGGGCAAAGGTTTTGCCCTGGAGAAGCCCAGAGACTCTGAAGGGTGCAGGACGTGGGGTGCGGACTGTGAACAGGTCCCAGAGCCTGCAGGGTGGCCCGCCCCGCAGGCATGGACAGGAAACTCCCCTGTCCCTCTACTTCCTCCCTGTCAGATGGCGGGACCCGATCCAGGAGGGCCTTCTGGACCCGAGCGGGGTCTTGTCCACAAGCACCAGAGACATAAGAAAGCGAGGCCTCCCGCCGCGTCCAGGGCCACCCAAGAGCAGCTGACTAGCTGGTGTTGCCAACTGACCACTCACTTGATAGTTGTCTTTCAGCCTAATTTAATGCTACTCACTTTGGGGCCACTTAGCTCCTCCTGAGCAATGGCAGTGAAAGCGGGGCTTGATCTATGTGCGAAGGGACTAAAAACCATTAAAGCGGAGATGGCCGTCCATGGTCACCTGAGTCAGCTTTGGCGCCGAGCTTGGGGAAAGCCCACGCGTAAAACAAAAACCCGCAAAACCCTCTGCG